ATGAAGATGAAGGTAATAAAGGCTTTATTCAGTGCCTGAATTTATAAGGAATTCATGTGTTAATTAAGCATACGAAAAGAATGTTAGTACACATTGGCGAACTGCTAGAAGCTCTGTTAGTTTTATTCTATTGATGCAATTTATGATTTTGTCTTACTGCAATGTCATACTGTTATGACGTAAACATAAACTATTGTATGTGTAATAAACTGTAAACTAGTTTATTTACTGAAAATAGGCATTTGACTTAATTAAAACTGTGAATTATCTTAATACATGCCGCAGTTATTCTGAGAAACACCACCTTCAGAAAAATGAAAATGTGTTTCCCATTATACATCTATTATTCTTTATTGCTATAATTGCTATATCTGAATGTTTTAGTAATGGAAACACAGCATTTTGAAATGTAACACTTCACAGCTGGAAATTACTGCTATTTTTCTTCGCCAGTAAATGGCAGTAATTGCGATAAATGCTATATGTCAAGAGGCCATAGAGTCTTGAGTCAATATCTCTCGTAAACCGTTTAAGAAAAGCAAAAGAAAACAATTGAAATAATTTAAAAAATCCTATATTTTTTCTTTTAGCATTTTTGCAAGATTTCACATGTTTCTTACTTTTAAAGGTGAGTTATGCATATGCATACTGTATTATATACACAATTTACATCGCAGATATAATATTTACACCTGGTATTGTTGTCTGAGTGTTGTGAGTGCTAGTATGTATTTTCTCACCTCTTTTTAGACTACGGTGTAAAACAGGCAGCTGTTATTTGTGGTGAAACAGAGCGGATTTGCAGATGCTATTATTTCTAAATTTGTTGTAAAGTAGCTTAAATATTTGGTTTGGTGCTTACTTATTTGCAGTAAACCTTTTTGGTTTTAATAGTAAGGTGTTTGTGTTTCTCACGAGCGTCGTGTGATTGTACTAGTAATATGTGGCGTCAGGCGCGTCTGTTCTGTCTGGTTAAAATCACATGTTGATTTTATGCTGCTTTGTTATTCTTCCGTTGACAGGGACTCTTATTGTGAAGGGCTGTGTGTGCGGTGGCAGTGCTTCACAGGGCCCAGTAGTAAACAGACTGAAAGCGAGACAGTGAGAGGCACTAACTGCACTTAGCCGAGCGCTAACCTAGCGCCATATTCTCCCCTTTCTTTTGTACCCCGTTCTGAGTTTTTCAGTAAAGCTGAGTCACAGACTCGATCTTCAGCTTGTGTGAGTTATGTGGAAACACCGCTGCAGTGTGAACATCTTTGTGACTCTAATTAGCTAGCAGTTCTGTCCGTTTTACAGATGTTTGTGGAACTACAGAACCAGTATGTATTGGTTCCTCTTCATTTTCCATGTTACAGTGACAGATTCACGCGCTCTAGTTCTGTGTATTGTGTAGAAGTCATAAGATGATAATAAAATATGTTTTTTTATTCCTGTGAATTTCGTCAATGTCATGTTTTCATATGAGCCATATTGTACTTACCTTTCATCACTGTTCTTGAGGGGGCAAAATAATGACTGTCAGTTTGGTATGTCATGATTAACCTCTGCTATTCTGTTAGCTTTTAATCAGTAATAAATTGTGACTGGTTCATCACTTTACTTTAGGGGGCACAAACATTATGAATTCATCGTGAAGGATCAGTATTTAATCAGTAATAAAGTGTGACTGGCTCAAAAAAAGTGAATTCATTATTGGTTTAATTGTATCACAGGATTGAGGGGTGTTTTAAACATGGCATTTAATAAATTAAATAAGATTATGTAAGATTAATTGATGTTGATGTCCCTCTTACCAGCACACACCAGACCCACATCACTGTCATGGGAGCAGTTGTGTTTGAGTGAAGATGACGTTGGACAGAAGAGAATCTGAGATTCGTTGCCTCTACACTGAAGCTCCTCTGACCACACCTGACCCTCCCCTCTGCCAAAAGCAGCTGCTCCCAGCACCTCCACAGGAAGCCCACAGCCCAGCTCTCGACACACAACCTCTGCATCCTGCTGGTCAAAGTCAGCATCACACACTGTGGACCAGGTCTCTCCATGAAGCACCTCCACTCTCCCAGAGCAGCGAGAACCACCAACGAGCCTGACTCCTAATCAGAGTTGGGAGGGTTGCTTCAAAATGTATTTCATTACAGATCTGATTACTTGTTAAGAAATGTAACCTAATACAGAAGATTACTATATTAATGTAATCTCATTACTTTCTGTTACTTTTGGATGACCTGTCTTTTATTTAAGATGTAAAATTAAATAAGGAGAAAAAAAAGATTATTTAACAAGAATTTAAATTAACACACACAAAACACACAAATTGCATAGATGAATAAAACTGAATAAGAGATTATGGGTGACTTAAATAATGTGCCTCACAGAAATGGTCACTAAGTTCATATTTAATGAAATAGCCAAATCTAAGTAGAATAACTTATGGGAATAACTCATACAAAGAAGACAAATTTGTATAACAGTATAATGTGTTTGAGTTTAGACTCATACACTAAAACTTTGAGGTTCATGAATAAAGCTTTGCTCCCCTGGAAAAATATTACAAAATTACACAAAACAAAAATTATACTAAAAAAAAAAAACAAACAAACAAAAAAAATTATGCACTGAGACTAAGTGCTCTTAGACTAAAATACAGAGGAAAAGTGATCAATGTAGAATGATCATGTACACTGGATCAAATGCAGTATGGTTAAAAACTCTACTGCCCTCCTGGGACTTTTACTTTTTTTCTTTTTTGTTTTAAATCTGTTGTATTTTTAATGCCAAAATCAAAACATCAATCTGGTCTTAATCGTGTTTTAACAATCATTAACAATAAGTATAAATAGAGTCAATTCTAAAAGCTCTGACTGACCATCGTGTGTGTTTAATCTACTAAAAGGCTGCACTGGCTCTCAACGCTTCATATTGGAGCTTCGTGCTGGACTTGGATGATGATAATCAGCTCTCAGCTGTTTCAGCAGCTCTAGGAAATCAACCTATACTACAATTTTTAAAAAAGACATTTATTTCACAGGAAAACTAAGTGAGACCTGATTTTGCTTACAATTAATGATCAGTTATGTATATTAACATTTTGCACCCAACGTTCAAAAAATATTTTAAATGAATGAATGAATGAATGAAAGAATGAATGAATGAATGAATGAATGAACCACACAAATGAAATTAAACTAACTTTGCTGCTCAGGTGATTTCACTTTCTGTTAATGTTTCAGACTGTTAGTTTAAACCTGTCAGGTTGAGGTTTTTAAAAATGTTATTTATAGTAACATTCAAACTGTAGAATTGAGAAACAAACGACAACAGAGAGTTTACTGTCTGATCAGATCAGATCACATCAGTCTGATACTGCAGAATCTAGTGATATGGAAAATCAGGGTACATGACTGATTCAGAAATCTTCAATAAAACACAGCAGATCTCAGTTCTGATAATAAAAATAAAATACTTACTAAAATCTCTACAGATTGGCTGAATAACATGAACTGCTGTTGAGAAGGAGATTCTTATGAATTCTCTTCTGGCAACATGACCATCTCCCCCCGTTACCCCCCAGATTAAAACTCTTTAAATCTATATGACTCATGTGACATAGTTATTGTTAAAACTGTGAAATTCAGTGAAAGACAACGAGTTTGGTTTTGAATGTAATTCTGCTGGTAATAACTCTGTTTCAATAATGTACCTGTAATCTGATCACTGCTTTGTTTACTGTAACTGTAACAAATTATAGTTACCATTTATTTCATCGTGATCAGGTAACAATGTAACTTCTATTCCATTACTATCCAGCCCTGCACCAAACAGTCTGACTCCTAATACATTTTCAATATAGAGATGATGTAGTTTTTTTATAAGTGATATAACACTATTAATACAAAAATTGGAAAATGTTAAAAAGCTTTGTATAATTCTCCCAGAAATATGCAGGATAAATTGTTTTTGAAGGTTTTAAGCAATTCTAGTGAAAATTCAACAACAATTTCTGAAACGCTAATGATTTTGATTAAAAAGTATTTTAATTAATGGCTGCTGAATTAAATTTGAATGGTGAAGTTAATGTCATTAAATTGGTTATGAAATTTCAGAAAAGCCCACCTGAACAGATGACTCCAGCATCTTTAGAATGATTACAGTTATGTTTATCCCATCCTGCTGATCTACAGTTCTTTAGTGTAGATTCTGATCCACTACAGTCCACATTACTCATCCAGATTGGTCCTGATCCTGGTCCAAAGTGAGCATCACTCAGTGCATCTACAGCTTCTCCACAGCGCAGCTCTCTACACACCACTGCAGCATCTCTCATATCCCACTCATCATCACACACTGTTCCCCACTGTCCTCTATGAAGAACCTCCACTCTCCCTGCACAGCGACTGCCACCATCCACCAACCTCACACTGTCTGTATAACAGAGAGGGTGAGAGGGGTGGGGAGAGAGAGAGATTTCAGGAGTACACTCAGCTCCAAATCATGGTTAAAAGGGAGTGAACAGTTACTGTGGTGCTCAGAGAAATGTGAAATGTTTGCGAAGTAGGAAACACAATCACACCTATTTACAAATATTAATTGCATAGATTTTCTTTACAAATCATAGGAAACTGCACTAAATGTTGGTGTATTATTTGCATAACAGTCTGATTAGTTCGGCTGTGCAGGTTGAAAATAATTATGATGCACAACACAAAAAAACACTTTTTAAACTTCAAATACAGAGTAAATATTTTAAAAGCTTTAATTAAAGTAAATCATAAAATAAGTCAAATGTATACAGACAGTGTTTTATTACAGCAAATCAGCCACAGATGCAAACATCTTCTCAGGCTACAAATATAGTTCTTACCAGCACACACCAGTCTCACATCACTGTCATGGGAGCAGTTGTGTTTGAGTGAAGATGATGTTGGACAGAAGTAAATTTGAGATTCATTCCCTCTACACTGAAGCACCTCTGACCACACCTGACCCTCCCCTCTGCCAAAAGCAGCTGCTCCCAGCACCTCCACAGGAAGCCCACAGCCCAGCTCTCGACACACAAACTCTGCATCCTGCTGGTCAAAGTCAGTATCACACACTGTGGACCAGGTCTTTCCATGAAGCACCTCCACTCTCCCAGAGCAGTGAGAACCACCAACCAGCTTGATTCTTCCTATAATATTAACAGGAGAAAATAGAGGTTATATGAAACAACGCTTTAGGATTAGGAGTACAGTTTTCATGTGCTTTTCCAATTTGGGATCACACAGACATCAAATTCATTAATTTGTAAATGCACTGTACAAATACATCATCTGTTAATCAGATATAATTTTTCATGTTAAAAAATATTTTAAATAAATGTCTGTTTTATTAAAATGTGCTTGATGTCTGAAACTGTTTTTCTTTGACATAAAACATGTAAGAGGTTATGTAGTGAAGAGTACCTGAACAAATTACTCCAGCATCTTTATTATGATCACAGTAATGTTTACCCCATCCTGAAGAAATACAGTTCTTCAGTGCAGACTCTGATCCATTACAATTAACATTATTCATCCAGATTGGTCCTGATCCTGGTCCAAAATAAGCATTGCTCAGTCCATGTAGAGCCTCTCCACATCCCAGCTCTTTACACACCACTGCAGCATCTCTCATATCCCAGCCCTCATCACACACTGTTCCCCACTGTCCTCTATGAAGAACCTCCACTCTCCCAGCACAGCGACTGCCACCATCCACCAACCTCACGCTGACTGTACATAAGGGTTGGGATGAGAAATGTGTTCAGTGAAACATGTAGTACATTAAGTACTGGCATGTAAGACTAATTTAGGTAGATGTCCCTCTTACCAGCACACACCAGACCCACATCACTGTCATGGGTGCAGTTGTGTTTAATTGAAGATGATGTTGGACAGAAGTGAATCTGAGATTCGTTGCCTCTACACTGAAGCTCCTCTGACCACACCTGACCCTCCCCTCTGCCAAAAGCAGCTGCTCCCAACACCTCCACAGGAAGCCCACAGCCCAGCTCGCGACACACAACCCCTGCATCCTGCTGGTCAAAGCCAGCATTACACACTGTGGACCAGGTCTCTCCATGAAGCACCTCCACTCTCCCAGAGCAGTGAGAACCACCAACGAGCCTGACTCCTAATCAGAGTTTGGAGGGTTACTTCAAAATGTATTTCAGTACAGATCTGATTACTTGTTAAGGAATGTAACCTAATACAGAAGATTACTATATTAATGTAATCTCATTACTTTCTGTTACTTTCGGATTACCTGCCTTTTATTTAAGATGTATAATTAAATAAAGAAAAGAGGAAAAAGACTCTAAAAACAATTTCAATTAACACAAAACAAACACAAAAACTGCATTGATTAATAAAACTGAATAAGAGATTATAGATGACTTATACCTACTTATACCTAATCAACCTATACTACAAGTTTAAAAAGGCATTCATTTCATGGGAAAACTAAGTAAGACCTGATTTTGCTTACAATTAATTATCATTTACATATATTAACATTTTGCACCCAACATTCAAAAACTACTGAAAATAAATAAATAAATGAATGGATTAATCAATCAATCAATCAACCAAACACATGACATGAAACTATCTTTGCTGCTCAGGTGATTTCACTTTCTGTTAATGTTTCAGACTGTTAGTTCAAACCTGTCAGGTTGAGGTTTTTAAAAATGTTATTTATAGTAGCATTCAAACTGTAGAACTTAAGGAGAAACAAATGACAACAGAGAGTTTACTGACTGATCAGATCAGATCAGACTAATACTGTAGAATCTGGCAATGTGGAAAATCAGGGTATATGACTGATTCAGAAATCTTCAGTAAAAACAGAACTGAGCAGATCTCAGGTCTGATAATAAAAATAAAATACCTACTATAATCTCTACAGATTGGCTGAATAAAATAAAAACATGAACTGCTGCTGTGAAGGAGATTCTTCAGAATTCTCCTCTGGCAGCACAACCATCTCCCCCGACTAACAAGCCCCAACCCCCCAATGAAAACTCTTTAAATCTACGCGACTCATGTGACAGGGTCATCATTAAAATAGCAAAATTCCGTGAAAGACAACGAGTTTGCTTTTAAATGTAATCCTGCTGGTAATCACTCTGTTTCAATAATGTACCTGTAATCTGATCACTGCTTTGTTTGCTATTGTAACAGAATATATTTACCATTTATTTAATCCCGATCAGGTAACACCGTAACTTCTATTCCTATCCAGCCCTGCACCAAACAGTCGGACTCCTAATACATTTTCAATATGGAGATGATGTAGTTTTTGTACAAGTGATGTAACACTATTAATAAAAAATGCAAAATGTTCAAAGGTTATGCATTATTTTTCCCAGAAAATACATGGTTCCAAGGACAAAAATATGCAGGATAAATTGTTTTTGAAGGTTTAAGCAATTCTAGTGAAAATTCAACAACAATTTCTGAAACACTAATGATTTTGTTTAATAGCATCTTAATTAATAGCTGTTCAATTAAATCTGAATGGTAAAGTTAATGTCATTAAATTCGTTACTGAAATTCAGAAAAGCCCACCTGAACAGATGACTCCAGCATCTTTAGAATGACCACAGTTCTGTTTTCCCCATCCTGCTGATCTACAGTTCTTCAGTGTAGATTCTGATCCACTACAGTCCACATTACTCATCCAGATTGGTCCTGATCCTGGACCAAAGTGAGCATCACTCAGTGCATCTACAGCTTCTCCACAGCGCAGCTCTCTACACACCACTGCAGCATCTCTCATATCCCAGTTATCATCACACACTGTTCCCCACTGTCCTCTATGAAGAACCTCCACTCTCCCAGCACAGCGACTGCCACCATCCACCAACCTCACATTGTCTGTATAACAGAGAGAGAGAGATTTCAGGAGTACACTGAGCTCCACATCATGGTTAAAAGGGAATGAACAGTTACTGTGCTGCTCAGAGAAATGTTTGAGAAGTAGGAAACACAACCACACTTAATTACAAAGTGTGGTTGTGTTTCAATTGCGCATTTGTGTTTCAAATATTAATTGCATAGATTTTCTTTACAAATCATAGGGAACTGCAGTGAATGTCAGTGTATTATTTGCATAACAGTCTGACTAGTTTGGCTGTGCAGGTTGAAAATAATTATGATGCACAGCACAAAGACACTTCTTAAACTCAAATACAGAGTAAATATTTTAAAAGCTTTAATTAAAGTAAATCATAAAATAAGTCAAAGGTATACAGACAGTGTTTTATTACAGCAGATCAGTCACAGATGCAAACATCTTCTCAGGCTACAAATATAGTTCTTACCAGCACACACCAGTGTCACATCACTGTCATGGGAGCAGTTGTGTTTGAGTGAAGATAATGTTGGACAGAAGTAAATCTGAGATTCATTGCCTCTACACTGAAGCACCTCTGACCACATCTGACCCTCCCCTCTGCCAAAAGCAGCTGCTCCCAGCACCTCCACAGGAAGCCCACAGCCCAGCTCTCGACACACAACCTCTGCATCCTGCTGGTCAAAGTCAGTATCACACACTGTGGACCAGGTCTTTCCATGAAGCACCTCCACTCTCCCAGAGCAGTGAGAACCACCAACCAGCTTGATTCTTCCTATAATATTAACAGGAGAAAATAGAGGTTATATGAAACAACGCTTTAGGATTAGGAGTACAGTTTTCATGTGCTTTTCCAATTTGGGATCACACAGACATCAAATTCATTAATTTGTAAATGCACTGTACAAATACATCATCTGTTAATCAGATATAATTTTTCATGTTAAAAAATATTTTAAATAAATGTCTGTTTTATTAAAATGTGCTTCATGTCTGAAACTGTCTTTCCTTTGACACCAAACATATAAGAGGTTATGTAGTGAAGAGTACCTGAACAAATGACTCCAGCATCTTTATTATGATCACAATCATGTTTACCCCATCCTGGAGACATACAGTTCTTCAGTGCAGACTCTGATCCATTACAGTCCACATCATCCATCCAGATTGGTCCTGATCCTGGTCCAAAATAAGCATTGCTCAGTGCATGTAGAGCCTCCCCACATCCCAGCTCTCTACACACCACTGCAGCATCTCTCATATCCCAGGTGTCATCACACACTGTTCCCCACTGTCCTCTATGAAGAACCTCCAGACTCCCATCACAGCGACTGCCACCATCCACCAACCTCACGCTGACTGTACATAAGGGTTGGGATGAGAAATGTGTTCAATGAAATATGTAGTACATTAAGTAAAGGCATGTAAGACTAATTTAAGTAGATGTGCATCTTACCAGCACACACCAAACCCACATCACTGTCATGAGTACAGCTGTGTTTGAGAGAAGATGATGTTGAACAGAAGTGAATCTGAGATTCGTTGCCTCTACACTGAAGCTCCTCTGACCACACCTGACCCTCCCCTCTGCCAAAAGCAGCTGCTCCCAGCACCTCCACAGGAAGCCCACAGCCCAGCTCTCGACACACAACCTCTGCATCCTGCTGGTCAAAGTCAGCATCACACACTGTGGACCAGGTCTCTCCATGAAGCACCTCCACTCTCCCAGAGCAGTGAGAACCACCAACCAGCCTCACTCCTAATCAGAGTTGGGAGGGTTACTTCAAAATGTATTTCATTACAGATCTGATTACCTGTTAAGAAATGTAACCTAATACAGAAGATTACTATATTAATGTAATCTCATTACTTTCTGTTTTGGATGACCTGTCTTTTATTTAAGATGCAAAATTAAATAAAGAGAAAAAAAGACTATTTAACAAGAATTTAAATTAACCCACACCAAACACAAAAACTGCATTGATTTATGAAACAGAATAAGAGATTCTTGGTGACTTAAATAGTGTGCCTCACAGAAATGGTTACTGAGCTCATATTTAATGAAACAGCCAATTTTAGTAACATATGGAAATAATTCATACAAAGATTAAAAATGTTTATAATTTGTATGTACAAACACAGTATAATGTGTTTGAGTTTAGTCATGTACACTGAAACCTTGAAGTTCATGAACAAAGATTTGCTCCCCTGGAAAAACATTACGTAATTACAAAAAACAACAATTATTTAAAAAAAAAAATTATGCACTAAAACTAAAAGCTTTTAGACTAAAATACAGAGGAAAAGTGATCAATGTAGAATGATCATGTACACTGGATCAAATGCAGTATAGTTCAAAACTCTACTGCCCTCCTGGGACTTTTACTTTTTTTCTTTTTTGTTTTAAATCTGTTGTATTTTTAATGCCAAAATCAAAACATCAATCTGGTCTTAATTGTGTTTTAAGACCTCTCATTAACAATAAGTATAAATAGAATCAATTCTAAAAGCTCTGACTGACCATCGTGTGTTTTATGTACTAAAAGGCTGCACTGGCTGTTAATGCTTCATATTGGAGAGTTGTGCTGGACTTTGATGATGATAATCAGCTCTCAGCTGTTTCAGCAGCTCTAAGAAATCAACCTATACTACAAGTTTAAAGAGGCATTTATTTCACAGGAAAACTAAGTGAGACCTGATTTTGCTTACAATTGATCATTTACATATATTAACATTTTGTACCCAACATTCGAAAACTACTTCAAATAAATGAATGAATGATTGAATGAATGAATGAATGAATGAATGAACCACACAAATGAAATTAAACTAACTTTGCTGCTCAGGTGATTTCACTTTCTGTTAATGTTTCAGACTGTTAGTTTAAACCTGTCAGGTTGAGGTTTTTTAAATTTTTATTTATAGTAGCATCTAAACTGTAGAATTTAAGGAGCAACAAACGACAACAGAGAGTTTACTGTCTGATCAGATCTGATCAGTCTGATTCTGTAGAATCTGGTGATGTGGAAAATCAGGGTACATGACTGATTCAGAAATCTTCAGGAAAACACAGCAGATCCCAGTTCTGATAATAAAAATAAAATACCTACTATAATCTCTACAGATTGGCTGAATAAAATAAAAACATGAACTGTTGCTGTGAAGGAGAATTCTTTTCTGGCAACACAACCATCTCCTCCCACTACCCCCCAAATTAAAGACTTATTAAATCTACACGACCCATTGTTAAAACAGTAAATTTGGGTGAAAGACAAGAAGTTTGGTTTTACTTTTTGAATGGCAAAGTTAATGTCACTAAATTGGTTATGGAATTTCAGAAAAGCCTACCTGAACAGACGACTCCAGCATCTTTAGAATGATTACAGTTATGTTTATCCCATCCTGCTGATCTACAGTTCTTCAATGTAGACTCTGATCCACTACAGTCCACTTCATTCATCCAGATTGGTCCTAATCCTGGTCCAAAGTGAGCATCAATCAGTACATCTACAGCCTCTCCACAGCCCAGCTCTCTACACACCACTGCAGCATCTCTCATATCCCAGTTATCATCACACACTGTTCCCCACTGTCCTCTATGAAGAACCTCCACTCTCCCTGCACAGCGACTGCCACCATCCACCAACCTCACACTGTCTGTATAACAGAGAGAGTGAGAGGGGTGGGGAGAGAGAGAGATTTCAGGAGTACACTCAGCTCCAAATCATGGTTAAAAGGGAGTGAACAGTTACTGTGCTGCTCAGCAAAATGTGAAATATTTGGTTAGTAGGAAACACAATCACACTTATTAACAAATATTAATTGCATAGATTTTTCTTTACAAATCATAGGGAACTGCAGTGAATAACTGTTTTTTATTTGCATAACAGTCTGACTAGTTCGGCTGTGCAGGTTTAAATAATTATGATGAACAACACAAAAACACATTTTTAACTTCAAATACAGAGTAAATCTTTTAAAAGCTTTAATAAAAGTAAATCATAAGTCAAATGTATACAGACAGTGTATTATTACAGCAAATCAGCCACAGATGCAAACATCTTCTCAGGCTACAAATATAGTTCTTACCAGCGCACACCAGTGTCACATCACTGTCATGAGTGCAGTTGTGTTTGAGTGAAGATGATGTTGGACAGAAGTAAATCTGAGATTCGTTGCCTCTACACTGAAGCTCCTCTGACCACATCTGACCCTTCCCGCTGCCAAAAGCAGCTGCTCCCAGCACCTCCACAGGAAGCCCACAGCGCAGCTCTCGACACACAACCTCTGCATCCTGCTGGTCAAAGTGAGCATCACATACTGTGGACCAGGTCTCTCCATGAAGCACCTCCACTCTCCCAGAGCAGTGAGAACCATTTACCAGCCGGACTCCTAAACGGGGTTGGGAAAGATGACAAATTTGTATAATATACTGCCTGGCCAAAAAAAAGGTCAGACACTCTAATATTTCATTAGACCGCCTTTAGCTTTGATTAAGGCACACTCCCCAGTCAGCTCTTAGAGGTTTCAGCAGCTCACAGAAATCAACTTATATTACAAATTTTAGAAAAGGCATTCATTTCACAGGAAAACTAAGTGGGAGCAGTGGAAGTGATGCATTATTTTTCCCATAACTTACATGTTTCTAAAGAAAAAACACGTGAGGCAAATTGTATTTGAAGATTTAAAAATGCCAGTCGGAAAATTCAACGATTTCTGACATTCTTATGATTATAACTTCAAAAATTGATGTTTGTTAAATGAAATATGAATGGCAAAATTCATCTCTTTAAACAGATTATTGAATATTAAAAAAGTCTACCTGAACAGATGACTCCAGCATCTTTAGAATGACCACAGTTATGTTTTCCCCAACCTGCTGATCTACAGTTCTTCAGTGTAGACTCTGATCCACTACAGTCCACATTATTCATCCAGATTGGACCTGATCCTGGTCCAAAGTGAGCATCACTCAGTGCATCTACAGCCTCTCCACAGCCCAGCTCTCTACACACCACTGCAGCATCTCTCATGTCCCAGTTATCATCACACACTGTTCCCCACTGATAATCATGAAGAACCTCCACTCTCCCAGCACAGCGACTGCCACCATCCTCCAACCTCACACTGTCTGTACAACAGAAGGCAGAAGAGACAGATATTTCTGCATGTGGCCATAACTACCTATGAAGACACTGAGGTTCAGACCTCAGTAGATTCAAAAGGCTTTTTCCCCACATCTCCAGTCAGAAGATTCAATGTGGAGAGTGATGTCCTGATAAGCTCACTGCTGCACTACCAGGAGTATTATAAAGTCACTGATGCTGCTCAGATCAGTTTGGACTGAGAGAGTAAATGTAAACCACTTACAGCGCCGTAAATTTTACAGAGGTCCATTTTGCAGAAAAGTGACCAACATCACACAATGACTAAACTAACTGCCAAATATGTGTTTTACACCAATTGTCAATTTCTCCTTTAGATCTTTTAACCAAATATTTTTTTCTTTTTTATCTGTCCTGAATTGTTATGTATCTTTCCATCCTTCCAGTCTTCCACAAACTGCTCAATTTCTATGCCTGTCTCTTTTGCTTTCTTCATTCTCTGTCCTCACAGATTACTAAAAAAAACATACATTAAAAATTATTTCTAAACGTCTGTTTCTATCAAACCCCAGCTAAACAGGAACAAAGATGCTCATAAATTAAACAGACAAAATACAGCTAAGTGTACCTGCTCAATTCTAAATTATGTTACATGATACTGTGCATCACTATTACTGGTGATATAATGATACTCTGTAGTATGAGGAGGTAACACAATACAACTGTGAACAACCATTAATTCCTCATCTAATTCCTAATATAGCCAACTACAGAGCCTGTAGCCTAAACTGAGCAGCTACTGAAACTTGACTAAAGCTTGCTGATTATGTGCAACACTGCTATTGCTCCAGATAAAAACCAGTTCATCAGTAAGAGAATTTAATACCAATTAGTGAAATGTTCCTCTTACCAGCACACACCAGTCCCACATCACTGTCATGGGAGCAGTTGTGTTTGAGTGAAGATGATGTTGGACAGAAGTAAATCTGAGATTCGTTGCCTCTACACTGAAGCTCCTCTGACCACACCTGACCCTCCCCTCTGCCAAAAGCAGCTGCTCCCAGCACCTCCACAGGAAGCCCACAGCCCAGTTCTCGACACACAACATCTGCATTCTGCTGGTCAAAGTCAGCATCACACATTGTGGACCAGGTCTCTCCATGAAGCACCTCCACTCTCCCAGAGCAGTGAGAACCACCAACCAGCCTGACTCCTCCTAAAATATCAGCATAAGAAAAAGCCACTTATCCTTCTGGGTCGCGGGGGTGCTGGAGCCTAACCAAGCTGTCATCTCGCGGAAGGCAGGATACACCCTGGACAGTGTAGATTAAAATGTGCTGGTTTTACAGCTGCTAAAAAGACAATTACGATACATTCCTAGTCTTTCATTGCATACTGTAAACTAACTTTCTGTAAAAGAGCAAATTTACAATGTACAATGTCTCGACTAAATAAAGCAGATCCTAAAACAGTACAGGCTTGTATGGGCATTGTTGCTGTGCGGGATGTTATTTTTTCTCCACCTCTTTCTTTGTTCTTTATTTTTTCTTTTTCTGTGTCTTTCAGATAAGCTTTTGTCTCGTACATTTATTCTGCTCATTGCTGTGTAAAAGACAATACACACACACACACACACACACACACACAAATATATATATATATATATATATTTGTGTGTGTGTGTGTGTGTGTGTGTGTGTGTGTGTGTATAAAAGTAAAGCTAAAAGTAAAGCCAAATCTCTTACTTAATTCTTACTCAAATTCTATGGATACTGTATTGAGAGATTATTTATAAAAGCACTACAGTGATGAGTACCGGAACAAATGACTCCAGCATCTTCATGATGGCCACAGTTATGTTTACCCCAATCTCTTGATTTACAGTTCGTCGGTGTAGACTCTGATCCACTACAGCCCACATCATCCATCCAGATTTGTCCTGATCCTTGTCCAAAGTGAGCTCTACTCAGTGCAGCTACAGCCTCTCCACAGCGCAGCTCTTTACACACCACTGCAGCATCACTGATATCCCAGCTGTCATCACACACTGTTCCCCACTGTCCTCTATGAAGAACCTCCACTCTCCCAGCACAGCGACTGCCACCATCCACCAACCTCACACTGTCTGTAAACAGAGAGAGAGAGAGAGAGAGAGAGAGAGAGAGAGAGAGAGAGAGAGAGAGAGAGAGAGAGAGCAAGCACAAAGATACACTACATGGCCAAAATACATGGACAGCAAAGCATCACACCATATATGCTTGTTGAATATTTCACTCAAAAATCCATTCCGCCAGAAGAGTATTAATGCAGCTGACCAGTGATGTTGCCCAATAGGGCTTGCCTTATTCAGTGTTCCAATGAATGCTGAGGTCAGGGCTTTGTGCAGGCCAGTGTAGTTTTTATACACCAACTCAGCAAAAAGGACTTTGCTTTGTGTATGAAAGCATCATCATGCTGGAATAGGAAAGGGCCTTCCCCAAACTGCTGCACACACTGAAGCACACCGTTCTCTCGAATGTCACACTGCGCTGTCACTTCAAGATTTCACTTCACTGGAACTAAGTTACTCGACCCACACTGTGAAAACAGCCCCAGACCATTATTCCTCCCCTACAAAACCTTACAGTTTTTTGTAGTATTTTCTACTGGATTTTGGATATTCTGTACTCACATAATTGTAGCACTTATGGTTACTGAATATATGTATATATATATATATATATATATATATATATATATATATATGTATATATATATATATATATATATATATATATATATATGCATTTACAGCTAGAATTGTCCATTCACCAAAAACCCAGATTGACCCATCAGACTGCCAGAAAAGTTTGCTTCATCACTCCAGAGGACACATTTCCACAGCTAGTCTAATGGCAGTGTGCTTTACACCAGTCCAGCTGATGCTTGGCATTGCACACAGTGTGGAGGCTTGTTTGTTGCTGCTCCTGAAGTTGTATGGAAATCTAAGTGGAGCAAGATGTATAAGTCGTGAGTTCAGACATGCAGACTTGTGAGTAGTGGAAAAAGGTGAGAATTTCAGAAAGCAAACCATTTAGTTTGTAGACCATTTCTTTGCTCTCAGTGGTTACAGCAGTTTAAACGGTCAGTATTGACATCTGCAGTTGGTTTATACTTCTTAGTCATTGTTTTGACAGCGGAAATTAGCATTTTCAACCATTTACCTATTTTCTACTAACCATTTCCTGATTTGTGCAGCTCAACAAACTTTAGTTGGACATCATTGCTGTTTTCTCTGGTCTTTCTTATGGTGACTGATGACTGAGGGAATTTGGCCTGTGTGTCTCCTCATATTCATACCCCAGTTTGAAGCAGGAAGTCATGGCTGAGCATTTATGTATTACTAATAACTTAGGTGAGCTTACAATATAAAGAAGATATCTTTCAGTTAGATTTCCCTCATAAGAATCTCTAGAGGTGCCAACAAATGAGTCACACACAATTTTGAAAATATTGATTAGAATACTGAGTTTAATAGTTCATGTTTATTAATGTTAAAGAGCTCAAACTGTGGATTACTCGATTTTTTCTTATTTGAAATAAATGAGCTTGTTGTAGGATGTCAGTGTAGTATTGTTAAAGTTTCAAAATATAATGTTCACTCCTCAATACGGACAGTGCACATATAAATAATCCACATGCAAACAGATCATTTTAAATTTACACAAACAAGGCATTTACACAGATCCAACTATTCAGCCTAACACAGTGTAGCTCTAACTATCCATGTTTAAAATTTCTCATTATGAAATTTTTTTTCTGTACTTACTCTATTAAGTACACAGTCAGTGATCCACAACACAGAACACAACACAGAAAACCAATCAGTACAATAAAACATGGCTTAAACCAACAAATACAAACAAAGAGAGAGAGAGAGAGAGAGAGAGAGAGAAGTTTAAAATGATACATCTGTGATTCTGTGACAGTGAGAGTGTACTTACCAGCTGTGGTGAGAGTGATGATTGTGGAGGACAGAAGAATGAGGGCCACAAAGCTGTCCATCTTCCTCTGACCTGCACACAGTCCTTTCAACTCAGCAGCAGAACAAGTTTCACCTCCTCTCCCCCAGAGAGACTGAAGAAACTGAGAGAGAGAGAAAGAGAGAGAGAGAGAGAGAGAGAGTGGGATAGATTCTTAAAGCCGCCAATCACACTCACTCTGACCTTATTAGAAAGAGGAGTGGAAATCATCAAACATTTTCAGTGACAAATCAGAGGAGGCATTTTTTCTTTCTCCATATTTATCAAAAGAGCGTCAGCGCTGATGAACAGAACTCCACCTCCGTCTCTAGAGGTGTGTGTGTGAGGAGAGACGCTCACAGCAGTGTGGTGAGAAACACACCAACATACAGGAGACTGACTTCAGAGAGAGGAAACACTCCAGTGTAATACAGCATTAATGCTGCACCTGCAGAGAGCTGATCCACACACTGATAACCATCACACACACACACAAAGCTCTGAGTTAGAATACAGATACACAGAAATGCAATTTAATCACTCAGTTAGTTAAAAGTTAAAACTAAACTAAACTTATTTACAGATGTTATTTTACTTATATGAATTGAGGAAAATGCTGCTTTTTAATTATTTTGTAATACAAAGAGAACAGTGTAATAACATCAAGATCAAAAAACAGATAATTAGTAAATAATTAGTAATAATAATTATAATTAATAAAGACAATATATTTTTATAAAAATATATACCTTTTTATCACAATCAATTAACTGATCACTATCGCACACATTTAAAGTACAGCTCGTTTTGATCACTGCAGTACATTTTCTTCTCCACAAGATGGCAGCAGAGGATTAATAATCAGTGATTTTAGTGACTGAGCTGAAGGAGGTTCTCACTGTACTGACCAGCTGGGGTCACTGCTAGTGTTTTAAAGTGGCTTCTGTATCTCTCAGACATGAAATAGGGTAAAAAATGGCTCAAACATTTAATAACATTTCTTGTTGCTTTCATTTCAACACTTTAAATCTAAAGCATCTGCATCTCTGCTCAGCATCAGTTCTCTACAGGTGTGAATAATTCTGAAATACTGAAATAATAAGGCAGAATGATACTGAAATAAAGTGTAAGATTAATGTGCGTGAATGAGTGAACATTTTTAATGTAAAAATTAGTAACGTAAATTAAAAATGAATCATTGTCCGATCAGGAATAACAGACCAATCAGCATTACTGCCCTGGATTCTGGTTAAAAGTGTAATGCAGTAAATTTTTAAAAATAATAAAATAATTATAAATATTAATAATTCTATGTAAAATGTACTAAATAAAGATCACTCCAATGAACTTCAGTCCTTCTACAAGGTCATTTTTAAACTGTAAGCTATGCTATGTCATTTCTGATGAATTCAGGATTTGTTGCTGAAATAAAAGTGTAGTATGAAGAAAATACCCATTATATTAATGTTGTATATAAAAAACACTGTGACACTCGTCATCTCCGGACCGCTTTCCACCTACAGGAGGGATTACTAGCACTTATACTGTAAATAGGGCAACTGCTAATACAAATACTTATTCTATAACTACAAATGCTCATAGGTTTCTCCCAGTAGAGACTGTGTCTGTTCCCCAAATAAAACAAAACATCAAAAAGCCCCGAAAAGTTTGTTTCAGTAACTTGATTAACATCAGACCGGTTATACCAGTTTGCAGTGACAGCACCTTTGGTCTAAAACTAGGACTGCTTAACATAAGATCCCTCACATCTAAAGCCGTCGTTGTGAATGAAATTATTACCGATCACGGTTTTGTTGCTCTGCGCCTCACAGAAACGTGGATTGGACCCGATGAATACTTTAGTCTAAACGAAGCCACACCCCCAGGCTACAGCTATGCACATAGCTACCATGGTTGGGAAGTATGGTTCTTTAAAATTACTTCCTTCCGCTGTCAAAATGCATGGCCTACAATGCCTTATTGAAAGGGTTATATAAAGTCAACCTCGCAACCTTTGACCACCAAACTCGGGACACTTTTTGCCTCATGACCTAATTTGCACATGCCCAGTTTGGACCCCATAGGTCCCATGATTGGGCCTTGGTTATGAGCCTTTGTAGGGTAGTTTGTAGTGGTTGGACTATGAGCTTACTGAAAGGATGGTATGAAGCTAACCATGTGACCTTTGACCCACAAACTTGGTACACTCGGTCATTTCACAGTCCAGTTATGTGGGTGCCTGGTTTGGAGCCCTTAGGGGCAGTTCTTTTACAGGCCTCTTGAATGTTTCTTGGGCCTTCCCCTTTCAAAGTGAATGGCCTACGATAGCTAATTGAAAGTGTCTTTTACAGTAAATTGTGTGACCTTTGACACCTGAACTTAGGACACTCACCCAGCACCCAGCTTGGGGCACCTAGGCACCACAATTGGTTAGTAGGCCTCTTAAATATTACTAAGGCCTTCACTTTTCAAAATGTATGTCCTACAATGGCTTATTGAAAGTGTCTTAATAATCCAATTGTGCAACCTTTGACCCCAAAACTTTGCACACTCAGTTATCAGACAGTCTATTGTGTGCATGCTGTTCTATTGTTTGATAGACCTCCTAAATATTATTTGGGTCTTTTCAAAGTATACAGCCTAGGATAGCTAACAGAAAGTATGTTTTAAAGCTAATCATGTGACTTCCGAATTTGGCACACTCAGTCGCCTCATGGTCTGGATTGTGCATGCCCAGCTTGGGGCCCCTAGGCACCATGATTGGTCAATAGACCTCTTAAATATTGCTTAGGCCTTCCCCTTTCAAAGTGTAAGGTTTCTGATAGCTAATTCAAAATGTGTTTTAAAGCATATAGTGTCACCTTTGACTCCAAAACTTGGCACATTAAGTTGCCTTATGGCCCTAATTATGCATGCCTCTAGGCATCATGATTGGGTAATAGGTCTCTTAAATATTACTTGGGCCTTCCCCTTTGAAAGTGGCATGTTGTGATTTATCCTGGACAATCATTTATTTTCATTTCCTGAATAAACATCACTATTGTCCAATCAACGATTTGTGACATCATCAGCCTGTGCCTTTGCTGTTTTTCAAATTCCTACCAGTGCAATGTAGAGCAACAGGTAACTCCACAAATACATTGTCTGAGAGCTTTTTCTATACTGAAATGTAATAGGATAAAACAAATGGGTACAACATTTTGCTGAAGTCATTTCATCAACCGACAGATAGTGTGGATGGATAATGTTGGGTCTCTCACATCATACAAGCTAGTTCTTGCCATGCAGCATTGCTAACTGGCTATCTTCCTAGTTAGGTTGTGTTTAGCAAACAGTAAAACTAAGAAAAGTGTGAATTTTTAAGGTTATGTTTGACAACATTCACAAATACCTAACAGATCAACTTATGAGCACAGCATGATTAGCAGCTTGTCCTGGGTAGCCAATAGTTGCTGATCCTGGATAGTCAACTGGATATTGTTCATGACTGTATTTCTTCTGGAACCTGCATCAAGTCCTTTTTAATGACTGTGTTAATGTGAGATTTAGATCCAGCAAATTAATCCTGCCATTGACTGTATTAATCTTTGACAGCCAGTTAATCCTACTACTGACAGTATCGATCGTGGACTGTTAATGCAGTTCATGACTGCGTTGATCCTGGATAGTCATTCAATCCTGCATACATCCTGGATACTAAATAAATCCAGTATCTGACTGCACTGATCCTGGATAATCACTTAATCCACTTCATGACATTATTGGTCCTGTATAGTTAATCCAGTTAATGACTCTATTGATCCTTGATAGTCAGTCAATCTAGTTCATGATTGTATTAATCTTGGATAGCCAGTTAATTGAATTACAGACTGCATTGATCCTGGACAAACACTTAATCCAGTTCATTACTATTTTGATCCTGGATAGTCATTCAATCCTTTTCATGACTGCATTGATCCTGGAACATCAGTAAATCCAGTATCTGACTGTACTGATCATAGATAGTCAATTAATCAATTTCATGACTGTATTGATCTCAGATGGCCTGTTAATCCACTTACTGACTGCACTAACCCTGGGTGATCACTTAATCCAGTTCTTTACTTTATTGATCCTGGATAGTTAGAAAATACATTTCAAGACTGTATTAATCCTGGATAGTCAGTTTATCCAGTTCATGACTGCATCCATCTCTGGATAGTTTGTTAATCCAGTTCATGACTATTGATCCTGGATAGGTAATTAATCCAGTTCATGACTATATTGATCCTGGATAGATAGTTAGACATATTATAGACTGCATTGATCTTGGATAACTAGTTAACAGAGTTCATGACCTAATTGATCCCGGGTAGCCAGTTAATCCAGTTTATGACTGTATTGATCCTGGGTAGTCAGTTAATCCAGTTTATGACTGTATTGATCCTGGGTAGTCAGTTAATCCAGTTTATGACTGTATTGATCCTGGATAGTCAATTAGTCCTGTTTATGACTGTATTGATCCTGGATAGAGAGTTAACCCCATATATGAGTGTACTGATTTTTGATAGCCAATAAATGTAGTTCATAACTATTGATTAGCCAATTGGTTAGCCAATTAATCCATTTTTGGTTTTGGACAGTAAATAATATTAGTATATTCTACCTTGTAGACCTTGTGATCCCTGGTTCCTGTCACCACAGCTGTAAAGAAATCTGGGTCTGTAGGTTTTTATACAATGAACAATATTACATCAAACCACTTTGAATCCACTGAAGTATGCATTTTAAGTGAGTCAGATTTCTTTGTTCTAAACTTAAAGTCTGTTAATTATTATTTTTAATTTTACAAAGACATTTGTCAGTGCATGGTTCCTCACCATTATTCTGTGTAGTAATTTGTTTTTAATTATAATCATTCAATATTATCAAGTTGTAATTCCAAGTCTGCTTCTTATATTGAATCATTAGTTGATTTTTGATTTTAAAAGTATTTTTTCAGTTGATCAAGTGATTACTGAGTGGAATGAATGGTGACTTACTGATTCAGTTGAATTACATTGT